GTGTAGTGTGTGTGTGTGTGTGTGTGTAGTGTGTGTGTGTGTGTGTGTGTGTGTGTGTGTGTGTGTGTGTGTGTGTGTGTGTGTGTGTGTGTGTGTGTGTGTGTGTGTGTGTGCATGTGTGTGTGTGACAGACGCGCAACTTATTAATGTTTCAGTTTTTAAATTCCTCAAGAAAAATGAAAGATCGAAAGAAGTCAGGCAACAAAGACAACAGCAAGACAAACAACAACGCGGCCGCCGCCAGACGGCGCGCGACAAAGACGTCATCCACATATACCACTCTTACATTAAATTAAGAATTAGATTAATATAGAAATAAATTCAGTTAATTAATATAAATCATTTCATATATATATATATAATATATATATATATATATATATATATATTTTAGTGACAACAACTCGACAAACAACAGTACATCCGCCACCGCCACCAGAGGTCGCTGCGCTCGCTTACCGTCGCGGTTCATCTTCACATCGAGGCACTTCTTGAAGCGGCACGCCTGGCACTGGTTGCGTCGCGTCACGTCGACGACGCAGCCGCCGCTCTCCTTGCACACGTACTCGAGGTTGCGTCGGATGCTGCGCTTGAAGAAACCCCGACAGCCGTCGCAGCTGAGTACGCCGTAGTGCTTGCCGCTCGCCTTGTCGCCGCAGACGGCGCACGGGATGTCCGGCTTGCACGGCGTCGGACTGACCACTGGAATAGAAACACGGGAATATTTAACTGACCACTGGAATAAAAGGATATTTAATCTGCCACTGTGATATAAAGTCACTGATATATTTAATTTACCACTGTGATAAAGTTGCGGACGTATTTAATTAGTTTCTGTGATAAAGTCGCGGAGATGTTTAATTTGCCACTGTGATAAAGTCGCAAACATATTTAATTTGCCACTGTCATAATAAGTCGCGGAGATATATTTAACTGACCGTTGCAGGAGTGAGAACTGTGGAGAATTGTCAAAAAAGAAACAGGGATTTATTAATACACCACTGTATGAGATAGCGCGAAGATATTTAACTGACCAATGCAAGAAACGCGCGGGGCGATGTTTTACGAATTGCCCACCGCCAGAAACGCGCCGACGAGGTTTTACTATTATATCACGGCAAGATAAGTGCGCCTGCTTGATTAAAACGACTATGTAACTAATTATGTAGAGGCGCACATGCGCGAATGTTTGTTTTTATGAATTTTTAGGCTTAATTTAATGAAATCATGCAATTATAAGTAGTATTCATCGTTTCTTAACCGGCGTAAAATGTATAATTCTGGGCATTTTGAATTGAAATGCTCACGAAATTCGTTCGCTGTCGAGGTCATGCGCTCGTATATGAAACACAATTTAAGCATAAACTTAAGCACAAAATCGTAACTGCATTTTCATACTGTGTTAAAAACGCATAGTCACTGTAACTCATCGCTTTGAGAGAAGCGCGGAGGTTTTTAATTGCTTCTGTGTTGTTAATTAATTAGCTTTATTAATCGCGAGAGTGAAAAAGTGTCGTCTGTATTAAATGGTCGCGAGGGCAATCATTGCTCCTCTAGAAACTGTGCCTGATGACAGTGTTGTTTAATTGTAACGCGTACACGCACACACACTCACACACGCACGCACGCACCCACACATAGTAGGCTACCAGACGCCCAGCATGTGTTGATGTCACAAAGAATATTCTAAAATCACGAATATAAACTTGCCAAACAAATATCCCCTTAAACCACAATGCCCGCCTCGTTTAACTAATATCTTAATGAAACACAAATGTCACCTAGTGAAACAAATGTTCGACGCATGCTACCTTGCTCAACACCCACCCAATTTCCCAGTCATCTTAACCAACAAATGTCTCTTACTCCGTCAAGCGCGCAATAAACTAATATTACGCGCGTGTAACCTCGCGGCGTAATGTAACACGTTACACACGCGGCAGACAGTCCCGCTGGTCCGCACCCTCCCTTTGCGTTTAGTCGGGCCAGCCAGCGCACGCACGCGTAAAATCACGCGTGACCTTCACAAAAGAATCCCGACCCTCCGTGCTCTTTACACTGCTAAAAGCCCACCGCCGCACACCACCGCCGTGCCCAGCGATTGTGACCGCGAGTGACGGCGTGATCAAACAAAATGCGCGTGCGCATTGTCCGCTAGTACCCCCCTCTCCCTCATCCTCCCCCCTTCCTACCGCTGCTGCTGCACGCGCGCACTTCGTCTGCTCATTTTGCGGACCGGTGGTACCACCTCTCCCTCATCCTGCCTTCCTCCCGCCGCTGCTGCTGCACGCGTGCGTTCGTCCGCTCATTTTGCGGACCGGACGTTAAAAGCCGCGGAAACAAGGCGCCGTAAACGCGCTGAAACGTCGGCGTGATTTCGTCGGCGACGCGTCGGCTTTCACGCGGTCACATTCGGTAATCAACGGCGTGTTGATAATAATTAATGACATTCGGCTCTCATCCCCGCGCGCTTCTCTCTCTCATCCCCCGTCTCTTTCTCTCTCTCTCTCTCTCTCTCTTTCTCTCTCTCTCTTTCTTTCTCTCTCTTTATATCTCCCTCCCGCGCGCTCTCTCTCTCTCTTTCTCTCTCTTTATATATCTCTCTCGCTCTCTCTCTCTCTCTCTTTCGCTCCTCGCTCTCTTTATCGCTCTCTCTTTCTCTCTCTCTCTCTCTCTCTTTCTCTCTCTCTCTTTCTTTCTCTCTCTTTATATCTCCCTCCCG